AGTTAATTAACGGTATTGTTGTTCCCTTCGACTTTCTAACGTGCATACTCTTGATTTGCTAACGTTTCGTTACACTGTTTTCTATATTGGAGCCTATTTTCTTTGTTTGTTAATGATCGCTCGTCAAACTGATTTCAAGGGACGATTAAACTGAAAGACTGAGGGCTGTGGGTTAACCCCTCGTCATACAATTTTAATGCAACCGCGAACACGAGAAACACATTAACGTTAATAAGTAGACTGTAGACCTTTATGGAAATTCGCGTTTTCAAGGACTGGTTGATAAACAGAAATTACATAGGCAGAAGGTCGCTATCTTGATGAACACTTCTGCTGGCCGAGGAGTAATCTTAGATTTCTTTGCAATTGTTTACTATGTTTAATTAAAGCCTGAGCTTGATTAATCGCTTGATATTATAGGAAATAGTAAACAATCCAGAGTTTTTCTTAATTATCTCCGAATGTGTGTATATATAAGAAACTTCATCCTGTCCTTCAGCTAGGTAACATCGTCGTAGAATATTGCGAAGTTATCACGAATATTGGCGAAAGAGACTTCGTCGCTACATACGGAGTCGTAACATTTTCTTCGGTGAAACAGCAAAAAATTTGCGTGGAATACGAAGTCGAGGTGCCGATTCAGTTTGTCGCAAAAGCGATCAAGGTCCTTCTTATTCTACCGAGAGGCCGCGATAAGATAAGCCGAACGACGACGTTCGACTTCCGATCGCGGTCCGAACTCACCGCTCGTACACTACATTCCTGGTGCTCGTGTTCTCGTTTCGCCGTTCGGACTCGCGGTTTCATATAAAAAGGAGAATTAAACCCACTTCCTAAAGCTCTCGAGATAACTTCGCGACTTCGCTGCGTGTGAGGGCCACTCATCGCCAAACCCTCAGGAATTCCCAGATAATTTTGAGTGTCCACCTAAAAATAGTGGCTGCCCGCGAACCTCGCTAATAAAGCCTGATTTCCCCTGATTTTCTAACACCATTCGCTTCGAAATCTCTCAAAGAACACCGAATAATACGTCACTCCTAAAAGACTCAAACATTCCATTACCTCTAATCTCTCGACTAACACTCAATCTTATCGATCACACAATGCATCCGGTTCGATATCTGTCTCAACCTCCAGTATATACCAAAGCGTCCGCTAATATGAAATCACGGTCACTAATTTCTCGTTCGAAAATCCCGAAAGAAAGCTTGTGAAGATTATATCTATACTCAATCCCCTGACAAACATACTTCATTTTATCAGTGCACAGTGTGCTTCAAGCTCTGCTAACTCTACCCATAGAAATGTAGCCTCTAATCTTCAATTCGAAAGTCTTCGCAGCGAATCTCCGAAAACCAGCGATCTGTTCAATCCCGAAACAAATAGCCAATCTGCTCAACCAGCAATGTGTCCAGCCGCCATCATCGCAACCACCCGAAACGACGAACAGTCTAAGCCCAGGAGCCCGAAATGGTCAGTACCGTCGGACATTGTGGCTCGTCGAATGTAGCAGCGTGGAACGCTTATGTTAATGAGCCCTCGCGATTACCAGACGGGGGCATGCGAGCAGGGAAAGATGATGTCGAGCCGATAGAGACGTCCAGACCGGATACAAGGAAGGTCGAAGGAGAAGAACCGGATAATCGTCACCGTGCTAGCCACGCACCGGGTTCGCCTATCGTGCCCCCGGTCCGTGTTCTCCAGACGAGGAAGGAAGTTCGCGTTCTGCGCGTACACCTGCGCGACGACCGCCTCCCACCTGCGGGCCACCTGAACTTACCGATGGAACCGCAAGTCCCGAGTGACTTTACCTGGGCACCTGACCGCGCGGACGTGTCCGCGATAATTACCCGATATATGATCGATAAAACGGCCACTTGCGAGTTCTTTCAGGCTGACCATTCGATCGCGTGATCGATGTATCATCATTAATTGAAACATGTGGATTCCGAATGTAGGGGACATACTAGGTTCAGAATTCTGGATCAAGATAGAAACTTGAGAATTTTTCATCTAGAGGACCTAGAGTTTTAGGTTTCAGAAGTTGGGGGGCTTAGAATCTTGAGGATTGTTCATCTAGAGGACCTAGAGTTTTGGGGTTCCGAATTTGGAGAGCTTAGAGTCTTGAGAATCTAAATTTAGAAGGCTTAGGACCCAAAGGGTAGGACCTAGATGATTGCACCTTGGAAATAAATTTAACGAGAGGGACTAGAAGCGAAGGCTGCTGCAGAGAACGAGGATTAAGCTGTGTCTAGGTGTCCTTCGCGAGCATATTTACTCAGCGGCCGTGTCGCGAGGCACGTACAACCGCGCAACGGTCATCAGGAACATCCTGGCCGAGCTATGATAACGGATTCTCCGGGTATACTGTTACTACGCCCGAGAGAGCGGGCTAGCGAGAGAGACTGCCGAACGATTCGCATGGAACGAAGTATCGGGCCGTAAAAGAATCGTCGGTAGCGACCAACGATTCTAGCCACTTCGCGCTATAGTCTGTTCTTCGAGGGTAGAGACCTCGTGCACACTGCCGGTCAGTCACGGTGGATGTCCACCGTGCTTCAACCGCTCGAATCAGTTAGAAGCGGTTGCGATGGAGGATTACTTGTATACTTCTAAGATTGTATTAACGAATGATGGTTTCTGCAATGATTTAAATATTTCCCAACGTGTTCCGCAGTTACTTAATTAAATATGAAGAGTGCTTCATGCTTCGCAGAACTCTGGGTACAGTTTCATTAATTTAAGCTGCCACTGTACGAGCGGTTTAATTCATTAAATTCCCTGCGACTTCAATAGTTCTTTTTAACATCTGGAAATACTGGAGCTCGTAATATAATTTCAGATTTGACGAACAAATCTGTTTAAAAATCTCGTCGTGTACGGGACAAACGTGAAACGAACGCGGAGAATCGAGCTTATTTGCGACCACACGAAGTCGATGTCTTCGATGGTCTTGGATTATAGCGTTCGCGGGATCGCGGCGACTTCTCGCGATTCACTTGCGATCGTGGACCGTAAAAACGGCAATAAACGTGCGTCACGTTTCCGAAAGCCTGGGATCACGGCCGCGGGACACAACGTTCACCGTGGAATTTTCTTGAGCCACGCGATACACCTTTTTCAGGAAGCTCGCGTGACCGTTCGTCGAAAGAAAGCGACGCCGGGCCCCGCGGAAACACGTACGCCGATGGCAGGCGAGTGCCGTTTCGCGTGACGAAAAATTGTTACGGCCGATGTAACGACAGATTATTTATTTATATCGCGCCACGGGTCCTCTAATCGCCGGCAGGATTGATTCTCTTCCGGCGCGCGCCGTTAAATATCTTCGAGCGCGAGGGTCGGGCTATCGGACGTCCGTGGCCGACGTCGGTCACCGGGCTTCCCGGACTCGTCCAAGAAGCGTTCGACGACCATGCCTCGCTCGGCGGTCGAGAAAAGGAAAAACACCGAAGGGAAAAATGGAGATTCGTCAAGGACGAGTCGCGAGCTGCGACGAAACTATAAGCGAGACAACACCGGGCGGAGGAGAGAAACGGAACTTTGCACGAACGGCAAAAATAAGAGAGTATGCGCGCGAGCAACTCTCGAGAAAGATTTGCATAAACAGGCAATCAAAGTTCAAATCTGCGCGCGGACGAAAGATAAGCCGGCCGATGCCGAGCGAGAGATAGCGGTCTTTGTTCCGTGCGCGAACAAACATGCAAATTTCTTCAGATTTTACGTTACGCCGGGCTCATTACTGGGAATTATTCCTGGCCGATTAACGAGCAACTCAAATCATTCGAGCTTCGTCTCCGGACGGACTTGATCGAGGATGACCGCTAAGTATTCGAGCGATCGAGTCTTGACTCGTCCGTGTGAAGTCGCGTTCTTCATTGTTACGGACGTCAACAATAAGCTAGGTTTATTGAAAAAAGTTATTCGATCATTGTAGAGAAACCGGGAAAAACCTTCGGTTTAACTAACAATGCGTCAACCACTTGACCTGAGACGTCTCTCACGCGAGATCGACGTCAGGACTAACAGGTGAATTGCACGTATCTATCTAGAAATTTAATTATCCTCATTCCTAACCATTATCTGGCAAACAACATAAAGAAATCCCCTATCCGCGAAGACTCGTTGACCGGAAGGCAGTAAATAATCGACGAACATCTAACGAAGTCCGGCATGTCCGGTACTCTAAACCCACCACCATGTTCGCGTCGATGGAACCTCGAACCATCCCGCCGCTAAAGGGGTCAACCAATGCGCATCGTTTACCTGAAATAGTGGGATCCAAACGGCGAACAGTAAAAAGGATCGTTGTGCATATGCGGCTGTCCGGGTACTCCAGGTCCCTGCGGATGAGCGTGAGGGCCCATAGGGCCAGTGGGTCCTGGACCGCACATCCCGGGCGCCCCTTGCGGCTGCATGCCTGCCGGGCCCATCATGCCGGCAGCGGGGCCCATGGGATGTGGTCCAGGATGGTGCGGCGAGCCTACCATGTGGGGGCCAGGATGGTGAG